GACAGGGCCGCTGTGGGGCGGGCCTGCTGCTGCCTGGGGGTCCCCCACCCCACTCCACCCTCCTCACTTACCAGGGGGAACCCAGCCCGGGTCATGTTCTCCACCACCTGGCGGGTAATGGCCGTGGATGAGTAGCCCCAGCGACAGAGGTGGAAGCCCAGCCCCCAGTAGGGCGGCATGAAGGGGTACCCTGCGGGCCAGCAGGGCAGGTGAGGCGGGGTGGGACAGGTGTGGGGCCGGTTGGGTGGGGAACGGGCCGTACCCACGACATCCAGGTACTGCTGCACCACACTCTTGGGCTCTGGGCCCAAGAAGACGTACAGGTCCAGGATCCCTCCAGTCGACCGCCAGGTGAGGGCCGGGCTTGGCTGAAGGACCACGTCTGGGGAAGGCAGCGTGGGCTGAGGGACCATCGCCAGGGCCCTTGGCATCGCTGAGCTGGGCCAGTGGGGAAGGCTCTGCCTGTTCTGCCCTGAGCCGGCGTTCCTCAGCCAACCTCCAGCAGCAGGCACCGGGATGACTTACCCATGGCATTACTGTTGAGCAGGAAGACCCCGTGGGCCATGCCACCCTCCTCCAGTGCCAGGTAGAAAGGGTGTGACCCATACAGGTTGGCACCAGGCTGGGAGCAAGAGGAAGGCACCTCAGTTCTTGCCCCTGGGCTCCACACCTGCATTTGACCCCCAGGCACCCTGCTGGGTGTCCCTGCCCCCATTACCATGGGGGCCACGTCCCGGTTCCAGAGGGTGACCTTGGTCCAAGCGGTGCTGAGCAGCAGTGGGCTCAGGTGCTCAGCCAGGCCGGTGAGGAAGTGTGAGGGCAGCGTCGTGGACAGCTGCAGGAACTGGTCAGCGAAGAACAGCGGCGCCACGCTCGTGTTCAGCCTGCAGGGGCACCGAGGGGCTGGCACCACAGGCCCACATGGCCCCCAGCCAGCAGCCGCAGCATCCCCAAGGGGCTACCACAGCCATGCCTGCCACGGAGCCAGGGCCCAAGCGAGTGCCCTCAGCTCTGAGTGGGTTTATGTGGGACTCTTTCGTCCACGCAGGGGTCCTGCCTGAAGGCCAAGCACGCTGTACTGTGGGCAGAGAGGGACCAGGTGGGGCCTCCAGCGTCACAGCTGTGGTCTCGGAGTCTGAAAATGAGCTCTGGCCACTCCTGCACATCTGGCAGCTGGGGCATGTGGGCAAGGAGCACTGGACGAAGCCTTGGTGCCAACATGCACAGCCAACCCCCCTGAGGGACACAGGCTCACTCTGGAGTCTGCCTGAAGTCCCTGGCCTCTCCCAAGGGCACGGTGCACTTGGTAAGCCAGGAAAGTGTAGGTTGATGCCCTGCATGGTGGGTACCCCGCCTCAGCTCTCTGCATGCCAGCGCCTCCCCCATCTCCTGGTGCGAGCTGACAGCAGAGCAGGGGGTGCTGCTGTCTGACCTGCAGACAGAACAACCCCTCCCAGGAGCTTCTGGCCCTGGGGGTTCACTCTGCACCTGCCCACCCTATGAGAGAATGTGGGGACCGGGCACTCACAGCACCCGGCCATCCAGCTTCCGGCGTACAATCACCCCAAAGGGCTCCTCCGAGAACTCCACGCTGTAGAGCGGAGATGGGGCCGGGCCTTGGGCCCGCGGCGTGTGCAGGGGCACCTCATAGCGCTGAGCAGCAGGGTCCTTAATCTGGAAGACAGACCCGTTCTTCATCCTCCAAGGAGCAGGGACCCAGGCTGTGCGGCGTGGGCTGAGGCAGACCATGAGACCTCTCTGGGCCAAGGGACAAGTATGCTTCCCATGCAGCCAGCCCACCGGGAACCCTCCAGCAGCGATGTCCCTTCGGTGCCCGGGGCTCCTCCCAGCGGCCCTGCAGTCAGACTCTGGCACACGACCTGCCCAGGGTGTAACCATAACGGGCACAGTGCGCTCAGTGGCTCCCGGAAGCCTTGGAAGGTGACAGCTGTTCCGAACTGTTTCCCATGCCCAGGGGCGGCCCACACAGGGGCCGCCAGCAGTCAGCAGCTGTGAGCCCAGTGCCCATGGCCCAGAACGTCTCCCCAGGGGCTTTTTCAGAACCCAGAGGGTCACTTCTGGGGAGGCTGGTAATAGTCTCCCACCCATGCCCTGCCCTGCTCCTAGGCCACCCACACAGCAGCAGATAGCTGCCTGAGGAGTGTGTATGTGTCCCTGCCCCGTCCTCCCCGGGCCTTGCGGAGGCCTCTCTGCCCACCGTGAAGTGGAGGCGGCTGTCCGTCTCCATCAGCACGTCCAGCTGCAAGGTGAGGATGTCTTTGGGGAAGAAGGTGGGCACATCACGGGTCAGGGTGGCCGTGTAGCCGGTCTCCGAGGGGCGCAGTCCCTCCAGTCTGTAACTGGGGTAGTTGGGTGGGAAGAAGCACCAGGGCTGTCCCATAGGGGCTGCCTGCTGCGTGGGTGCGTAGCAGCAGCCGCGGGCCTCGCACTGCTCCTGGGTGATGGCCCGGTCCGGGGCGCAGTCGAAGCGGTTGTTGGGGGGCACGTCACACTGAGTGCGTATGGTTCCAGGCCGGCCAGGGAGTGCCTGGGAACCCAACTGGCGGGCTCGCGTGGGGACCTCGCGTCCTCGGAAGACACTTCCCAGCTCTCGGGGGACCAGCGGGAAGTCATAGAGCAGCACGTGGCCCAGGAAGGCAGCTGTGGCCAAGGAGATGAGGACGCAGAGGCCCAGCACGGGGCAGGAGCAGCCCTGCATGTGCATGGCGGGCAGCGTGGGCAGCTCCCGGGGAACCTGTGAGAGAAGGAGCCACGGTCAGTTGGCAGTGCTAAGCGGTGCTGGGCTGCCACCGGGGCGGGCTTACCCTGCAGCGCCCAGGGGGCCTTGACAGGTGGGCACACTGACCCAGGACAAGGGGAGGCCAGGGCAGAGGGAGAGCCGCACCGCTAATGGGGGCACTGAGAACTCTGACAAAGCAACACAGCTAAGGGTGTCTCACACACACACACACACCCACACCCGAGGAGCAGCTTGAGAGTGCCAAGGCCCCATCCAGCCCACAGTGACAGTGGGGTGAGCAAGCCCCGCTTCTACCAGGAGGCCAAGAACAAAGTGGGGGCACTGCCCCAGGCCTGGTCTCTTTCCCACACACCTTGAGCACAGGGCCTGGGCGCTGCACTGCCACCCAAGTCAGAGGTCCTGACCTCCGATGACCTGGCAGCTGGGGCCCGGCTTGCCCTGCATACACAGGGCCCTGGCCCAGCAGGTGGGCGCTCACCTGCACTGGCTGCCCCGGCATCTGCAGGTAGGGCCAAGCCCCTTCCTGGAGCCCCACCCTGCCGTGGCAGACACAAGAGCACCCGAGCAAGGCTGCTGTCCTCCCTCGGAGCTCGGGGAACGTGCGGACACGGATCGCATGGGCGGGAATGTGGCCTCCCCGCACTGTGGCACCCACGTAGGTTTCCCTCTGCGTGTCTGAGAGATGGCTGGGAGAGTGGGTGGACTCACTGTGTCCTGGGGTAGGGATCCAAGGCCACGGGGCTTGGGGAGGGACTCCTCAGGCCACAGTGGGCAGCATGTTGGACCAGGCCAGGTTTGGATGCCACTCACACGGACTCTGGGGAGAGCCAGCTGCAGCATCCCCACAGCGGCACGCAGCAGAAGGGGCACCCAGGCCCCACCACCTCCGTCTCAGCTGTGCAGGTCTGCAGCTCCCGGCTGACCCTGACCACCTGCTGGCCAGGCAGGCCCCCTCCACACGCCACCCTCAAGGGCACCGGTCACTCGCTGGTGGCTTGGGTAGTTCTCCAGGGCCGACCACTTCACCATGAGCCAGGTACAACCTCGAGCCCCTGCAGGGACCACCCCTCCTGGGGGGACATGTCTCCTGCCCGGCCTTCCACTCCTGGGGGAGCTGCAAGCCAGCAACCAGGGGCACAGGGCAAGGCCAGGCGGCCGGCCCAGACATGGCAGGCACCTCGGGCACGCGTGACTCAGCCCTCAGCAGGCGCCGCCCAGCACACACCCCAGGGCCCAGGCGCCCGGCCACCTGTGCTCACCGCCCACTGCTCTAACGGCAGGCTCGGCTGCCGGGCCCTTCTAGGAGAGGGTGCAGCGCAGCCCCAGGCCCAGGGGTCCCGCAGGACGGTTAGCGCCGGGCAGCCCGCCGCCTCCAGGCTCGGACTTAACCCCAAAGGAGGAAGAGCTGAGCGGAGGTCGGGCCGGTCCCGCCGGGGCGCAGGGGGCGTGCGGGGAGGCCCGCGCGTCCGGGGCTCCCTGTCCGCGCCCCGTCCCGCCCCGCGCGGCCGCGGCTCCCACTCGCTTCACCTAACGCTCCGCACGGAGGAGGACGACCGCGGCCACCCCGGCCACTCCGGCCGCCCCGGCCACTCCGGCCACTCGCCGTCAGGTCCGCCGCCTCAGGCTGCGCGCACGCGCGGCCGCGCTCAGGCGGCCTGGTCACGTGGTGTGGCCGCCGGCGCAGGCGCCCGAGGGGCGACTGCGGGTGCCCCTGACGGGGGACCCCGGGGTGCCGGAGCCCGTCCCTCGGCCTCCTGATGGGGGACCCCGGGGTGCCGGAGCCCGCCCCTCGGTCTCGGTGACTGGGGGATCCCGGGGTGCCGGAGCCGTCCCTCGGCCTCGGTGACTGGGGGACCCCGGGGTGCCGGAGCCCGCCCCTCGGTCTCAGTGACTGGGGGACCCCGGGGTGCCGGAGCCCGCCCCTCGGGCCTCCTGATGGGGGACCCCGGGGTGCCGGAGCCCGCCCCTCGGCCTCGGTGACTGGGGGACCCCGGGGTGCCGGAGCCCTTCCCTCATCCTCGGTGACTGGGGGACCCCGGGGTGCCGGAGCCCGCCCCTCGGTCTCGGTGACTGGGGGACCCCGGGGTGCTGGCAACCTCTTTGTACACACTCACTCGTTGCCTATTGGGAAAGAGCCTTTATTGTGCCTCAGCCGGGTTGTGGGCTTTTATTTCCACAGGGGCCAGAGTGGGGGGGAGGGCTCATGGGGGTCTCCACCCCGCACCCCTAGGCACTGGACTGCCCTGCCAGCCCTGCCTGGAGACGGGGTGACCAGGGGACTTTCCTCCCTTGGGGCCCCCCTACCACACTGTGGTTGGGTTCTAGGCACAGTCAGCCTGTGATCCCCTCAAACCCAACTCCTGCGGGGTCGCATCTTCTCTGTCTGGGCCAGTGGGGCTTTGCCAAAGGAAGGAAGGGTCGTCAGTGGCCAGCAAGGGCAGTGGGCGCCCAGGGTCTCACGCTGCAAACTAAGGCAGCCCCCCAGTGCTGAGCCTGGGCCGTGCTGTTGTGAAGAGCAGGTGGAGATCTCGTTCTGTCTGGCCGCAATCTAGGTGGGCCCCAGGGACCGGAGCTGGCTGGAGACCTTCTGGCTGACCTTGTGCAGGGCCTCCTGGAACTGAGGGAACTCGGACTGCACGTGGGCCAGCACGGTGGCCAGCTGGGCCAGCCGGTCATCCAGCCGCCGGCGCTCCAGCTGCAAGGCCGATGGGGAGCGGCACAGAAACACGTACCGCCCGTCCTTCACGGCCTGCAGGTGCTTGAGGCACGTCTGCAGCGCCACGATGTCCAGCAGGTTCTGGGCAGGAGAGAACCCTGTCAGCCGCACACAGGCCTGGAGGCACCTGCTGGCCTCCTCACAGACAGCCTGCTGCGGGGCGTGAGGCCTCCCACAGGCCCTTCCACCTCGCGTGTGCCAGGCCCTGCACCACCAGCTGCCCCAGCTCGCCCTGTCTGGTCTGGCTGGAGCCCCCTAGGGGGCTTCAGGCACATACCACCACAGGCAGCGGCCCCCTGTCTCCCTCCCATCCAACTCAGCAGGAAGAGCTGCTGAAACCCGTCTCCTCAGCCCAGCTCAGCCCTGGGAGACCACCTTGCAGCCCCCTGCTCCCGGTCCCTGGATGCCCTTGGAGGAGTCCCGAGCTCAGCCCTGGGGGACCCCCTTGGACCCCCTCTCCTGGCCCCTGGATGCCCTTGGAGGAGTCCCGAGCTCAGCCCTGGGGGACCCCCTTGGACCCCCTCTCCTGGCCCCTGGATGCCCTTGGAGGAGTCCCGAGCTCAGCCCTGGGGGACCCCCTTGGACCCCCTGCTCCCGGCACCTGGATGCCCTTGGAGGAGTCCCGAGCTCAGCCCTGGGGGACCCCCTTGGACCCCCTCTCCTGGCCCCTGGATGCCCTTGGAGGGGTCTCCAGCCTCCCCCACATGTGAACTCAACATCTGTTGTTTCTGACGCTCCTGCTGCCCACCCTGAGGTTTTTCTCCTTGGGGTCTCTCCTGGGGACACCCCCCAATCTGTGGTCAGCATGGGTTCCAGGTGGGGGGCAGTGGTCTCTGCTCTGTTCCGTGGCCCCAGTGCCCAGGGTGTAATGGGGCTTAAGGAGTCGCTGAGTCGTTGGCCTGGGAGGGCCCAGGCGTGCACACCTGTCTTTTGAGGACCGTGAGCGCCTCCAGGTCAGCCTCGAGCGTGTCCAGCTCAGCCTGTATGGTGGACAGCTGCTGCTGCTTCTGCAGGAGCGAGCTGCTCAGCTGCTTCTGCGTGCCCTCTAGCTCCAGGATGGTGTTGCTGCACTCCTCAGAGGCCTGGGGGACGGGAACGCCGCAAGCATCAGGGCAGCTCACACGCACTGCGGAGGGGTGTGACCACGCGGGCCTAGGGCAGCTCACACGCACTGCGGAGGGGTGTGACCACGCGGGCCTAGGGCAGCTCACACGCACTGGGAAGGGGTGTGACCACGCGGGCCTAGGGCAGCTCACACACACTGAGGCTGGGACCACTCACCCCATGCTCACAAGTACTGAGGAACAGCAGGCCAGGCAATGAGGTGAGGTCTGAACCGGGACAGGAAACGGCGGGAGGCCAGACTTCCTGTTGCCATTTGGGCTGACAGACCCCTCCCTTGCATCTACCCGCCTCCATGGCTCAGTCAGCTGGGAACCCACGTCTCAAAAGACCCAGAGGCCTGGGGGCCACACAGCCTGTGTACGTATGTGCATGTGTTTGTGGTCCTAACTGCCTTCATTCTCTCCCAGACGGGGCTGCACAGGCTGGCAAAGGCTGAGGGCCAACCTGGGAGAGAGCAGCCTCGAACCTGGCAGAGGGCTCCTGGGGCAGCGCTGGCCCATCCCCACTCAGGACAGAGAGGCCTTGCGGACAGGGCACAGCTGCCCTCAGCCTCCATGCACTCCCAGGCTGCACACAGGGCAAGACCTGGGCAGGTGGCCGCCCTCACAGCCACGGCCCACGGAGGGCTCAGCAGCGTTGCCCTGTCCAACGGCTGTCTGTTTGCTGCACCGTGTCGTGGCCCCTCTGCCTGGAGCTGCGTGAGGCCCCCTGGGGGACACCCCTTCGTGGAGCTGCGTGAGGCCCCCTGGGGGACACCCCTTCGTGGAGCTGCATGAGGCCCCCTGGAGCACACCCCTTCCTGGAGCTGCGTGAGGCCCCCTGGGGGACACCCCTTCCTGGGTGGCTGTTCCCCACCTTGTGTGTGTCCCTGATCTTGCGACGCAGCTCCGCCTGCCGGTGGTGGAAGTCCGTACGGGTGAGTAGCTTGTTGTCGGCCTTGGCCTGGCTCTCCGCGCGGGTGGTGATGGTCTCTCTGTGGCTCACAGCTGCCTCCATGGCGTGGATCATCTTCTCCTGCTGTTTCAGCAGCTGCCCGAGCCGGACCTACGGTAGGAGACATGGGCTGGGCCGGTGTTCCTACTGACCTGCCCATTGCAACTGCCTGGGACCCTGGAACCTTGCTGACCCACGCCTGGCAACCACCAGGGCTGTCCGAGTGGCGGGGAGCCACTGGTGAGCACCCTTTGCGACAGTCCCTGCCCAGCTCTGCGACTGTCCAGAGGTTGCTTTCTGAGCCAGGAATCCCTCCACTGGGAGTCCGACAGGCTGATGGAGGAGGGGGGCCCTGGGCAGTCCCCAGCAGCCCGGGGCAGTCCCCAGCGTCCCCAGCAGCCCGGGGCAGTCCCCAGCGTCCCCAGCAGCCCGGGGCACCCTCACCTTCATGCGATGAATCTCCGCCTTCATGGCACACATCTCTGTCTGACCCATCTCCGAGTCCACTGAGGCACGCATCTCTCGGGCCAGCTGGATTCTCTTCTCCCAGACCATCATCTGGTGTCTACAGGGGCAGAAGAGGCAGCACCAGGGCTGGGGGAAGCAGGGGCTTGGGCACTGCGGGCAGTGAGCACCTGCTTTGAGGCCTTGGCACAGAGGCTGATGATACGGGCAGCACAGCATTCCATATGGTCACCAGTCCCAGCGGCTCCATTTATGATCTAGTTCCTTGCTAATGGCCCGGGAAGGCAGGCCAGGTAGCCCCAGTGCTTGGGCCCCTACCCTCACGTGGGGACCTGGAAGAAGCTCCTGGCTCTTGGCTCCTGGCTTCAGGCTAACTCAGAACCAGCTGCTGTAGCCATTTGGCGAGTGAACCAGCGGATGGAATACCTCTCTATAACTCTGATTTGCACAACATAAGATAAATCTTAAAGCACAAGAAGGCTGTACAGGCTGGCAGAACCGGACGCTCTGCGTCCACCCCTGTGCGGAGGCCTCTGGCCTTGGGCCCCGTGGTGAGGAGCTGGGAGCAGCACGAGTATGTGACCAGGAGAGCAGAAAGGTCAAACGTTACCTACAGAGGGCGGCTGGCCGGAACAGAGCAAGGGGGCTCTGAGCATCACCCCGACTCGTGTCCCCCGTGGGCCCAGGGCCCTGGTGGCTTTGTGCATGATTCTCTCCAACTGCTGGGAATGGCCGAGCCCACACCATGCGCGTGGGGACCCCACACCGTGCGCATGGGGACCCCACCTCCCTCAGAGACCAAGAGGCATGTGCACAGGTGGCCTCCGTCCACATGGAAGTCACACTGCATCTGGACTGAATCCTGCAGATGCCGGGCACGGCCAAGGGCTCCCAGGTGGTTTCTGAGGACCTCCCCCAGCACCCAAGGGTGCCCTAGGCCCAGGACTCACTCGGCTTCCACCAGGTCCCTCAGGATGGCCGCCTTCTCCTCGGTGAGCTGGCTCAGCTTCTCCTGCAACTCGATGGTCTCACGCTCCAAGTCCTGCAGGGGCAGGGAGAGCTGTGTGTGTGTGTGTGTGTGTGTGTGTACGTGCGTGCGCAGTGGCGCTCCGGACTGCACACGAGGACCCAGGTGCGTCACGGCTGGAGCGGGGCGCCTGACCTTGAGCTCGCGCACGAACTCGTTCTGAGCCACCAGGTTGCCGTGCTGCAGCTCCTCCGAGCTGCTGCGGTTCTGGCTGTTTAGCACGTTGAGCTTCTTCAGGTCGTGGTCCAGGTCCCGCAGGTGGCGCTCTATCTCCTTTTGCTCCTTCTTCTCCTGGTCAATCTTGCCTGGGTGGGGAGGGGCATGAGGGCAGGGCGGGGCCAGGGCTCCTCTGTCCCGCACTGTCCCGTCCCCGCCCCGTCCCTGCCCCTGCCCTATCCCTACCCTGCCCTGTCCCTGCCCCTGCCCCACCCCGTCCCCGCCCTGCCCTCTCCCCACCCTGCCCTGTCCCTGCCCCATCCCTGCCTCGCCCCATCCCTGCCCTGTCCCCGCCCCTGCCCCGTCCCCGCCCCACCCCATCCCTGCCCCATGCCCCCTCCTGTCCCTGCCCCACCCCGCCCCGCACTGTCCCGACCCGTCCCTGCCCCATCCCTGCCCCGTCCCCACCCCTGCCCCATCCCCGCCCCGTTCCTGCCCCACCCCGTCCCTGCCCAGCCCCGCCCCTGTCCCGCCCCATCCCTGCCCCATGCCCCCTCCCGTCCCTGCCCAGCCCCGCCCCTGTCCCGCCTCGTCCCTGCCCCTGCCACATCCCCGCCCCACCCCGTCCCTGCCCCATGCCCTCTCCCGTCCCTGCCCAGCCCCGCCCCTGTCCCGCCCCGTCCCCGGGCTCACTCTCTGTGCGCAGCTTCTTCTGCTCCAGGATGTGCATCTCCTTCTTGACCGTGTCCAGCAATGCCAGCTGCTCCTCGCGCTCCTGCGTGGCCTTCACCATCTCTTGCTGCAGCCGCAGCCATGTGCCCTGGGCCTGCACCAGCTGGGCTCCCTGCTCCTGCAGCAGCTTCCTCAGCCTCTTCAGCTCCAGTTCCAGGGGCCCCATTTCTTCCCCCTGAGGGAATCGCGGCCGGCTGGATTGGAGAGCCGAGCCTCTGGCCACTCGGAGGAGCCCCTGTCCGTCCCCCAGTGCTGGCCTGCTCGGGCTCCAGAAGCTGCCTTTGATACCAGCCTGACGCGGGCTGTCCCATGCCTGGGCAGCCCCCCTTGCTGCACCTGCAGCGGGCTCCTCGGCTGGCTGACAGGCGCCACTGCTCCAATGCCCACACTTGTCCGAGCAGGTGAGTGGCACACCACACCAAATCCAAATAATCAAAACCCAACAAAACCAAGAGGGTTGTGTGCTTGAGAGGATGCCAAGGAACACATACTGTGCCAGAAACCACGAGAAGGGCCACACACACACGGCCACACAGGGCAATGCCATAGCCACACAGCCTGCGCCGCCCCGGAGCTGGGCTTGCCCCACGACCCTCGCTGCTTGTGAAGTGAGCATGACAAGTAGTGGAGGGGTACTGGACAAGGATGCCATAGTGGATTCTTCCCTCACCCAGGGCTCCTCCCCCTCCTGCCCTGCTCCTCCCCTGCCCAGGACTCCTCCCCCTCTGACATGGCTCCTCCCCCTCCTGCCCAGCCCCTGCCCTGCCCAGGGCTCCTCCCCCTGCCCAGGGCTCCTCCCCTCTGAAATGGCTCCTCCCCCTGCCCAGGACTCCTCCCCCTCTGACATGGCTCCTCCCCCTCCTGCCCTGCTCCTCCCCTGCCCAGGACTCCTCCCCCTCTGACATGGCTCCTCCCCCTGCCCAGGGCTCCTCCCCTCTGACATGGCTCCTCCCCTTCCTGCCCAGCCCCCGCCCTGCCCAGGACTCCTCCCCCTCTGGCATGGCTCCTCCCCCTGCCCAGGGCTCCTCCCCTCTGACATGGCTCCTCCCCTTCCTGCCCAGGGCTCCTCCCCTCTGACATGGCCCCTCCCCTTCCTGCCCAGCCCCTGCTCTGCCCAGAACTCCTCCCCCTCTGGCATGGCTCCTCCCCCTGCCCAGGACTCCTCCCCCTCTGGCATGGCTCCTCCCCATGCCCATGGCTCCTCCCCTTCCCGCCCAGCCCCTGCCCTGCCCGCTGCTCACCCCCAGCTCCGACACGGTCTGCTCCAGCTGCTTGTTGAAGAAGTTGATGAGTCCCTGCTTCCTCTCGATCAGAATGGTACGCCGGGAGATCTCGTTCTCGCTGTTGGTGATGAGCTCATTCGCCTTTTTCACCTCCTTGTCCAGATCGGCCAGCGCCTTGCGGTGCGAGTCCAGCCTGCAACTGGTGTTGGTGATGTCCAGAGTGGTCTGGGCGATGTCCCCGTCGATTTTGGAGAGATGTGTCACCTGTGGCCGGCAGGGGACATGGGTGTGAGCTCTGGGCTCTGGTCCTGGGCCCAGCTGTCCTCCCTCCGCATCCTGGCTCTGTCCACCCTCTGTCCCGGCCCCCAGCCCGGTGGGCCTTCCTTGAAAAACCCCAGAGGATGTGTCTGTTGACCCAGTTCTCTGCTGGACACTTGCGGCAGTACAGGTGTGACCTGTGGGCATCTGGCAAGGGGCAGGGCTGGAGACCCAGTGCCAGGGCACCTGGGACCTGCCAGGCGGTGCCGCTGCTTCCCACTCGGCCCCTCTCGGCTTCCCCAGCACACCTGCTTCTACTGCCTGGCAGTCTAGCTCCCTTCCCAGCAAAGCACGGGCAGGGTCCCCCACCCCAGCCTCATCATGTCAGCCAGGACGCTCCAGGAGCCTCAGCCGGGTCCAGCCCTGTGTGCCGCGTGTCCCTGGCACAGTCTGGGGGATGTGCATGTGTCAGCGTGTCTGAGTGCATATGTGCATCTCCGTGTGCCTGTGGCCCCACCATGTTGGTCTTCTCCTTCTGCAGGCGCCGCAGGAGCTGGCTGAAGTACTTGGTCATCTTGTTGGACGTCATGTGCTCCTGCAGCTTCTCCAGCATGGAGGCATCTAGGCTGCGCTTCAGCTCCAGCTCCTGCCGGACGCCCAGGCGCACAGCCTGCAGCTCCTCCATGACTGCCGAGTGCTCCTGGCACGGGAGAGAGGGAGGGGAGGCCAGGTGAGCTGGTGGGCCCTGGTCTCAGCCATGGCCAAGGGTCAGATAGTGGTGCTGTGGGCTGGCCCAGGTCTCGACCATGACCATGGTGCTGAAGAACGGCTGTGGGCCTCTCAGCCATGGCTGTGGGTGAGCTACAGTGCTCTGGGCTGGCTACGGGCGGACCAGGCAGTGCTGTGGGCTGGCTACGGGTGAGCCGGGCAGCACTGCAGGCTGGACTCGGTTTCGGTCATGGCAATGGGGCTGTGGGATGGCCCCGGTCTCAGCCATGGCCATGGCTGTGGGTGAGCTGCAGTGCTCCGGGCTGGCTGCGGGCGGACCGGGCAGTGCTGTGGGCTGGCCCCAGTCTTGGCCACAGATCAGCCGGGCGGCACTGTGGGGTGGCTCTGGTCTCGATCATGGCTTGGGGAGGTGCACCTGGTGGCCCTTGGCCAGGGCGTCCTCCGTGTCCTGCAGGGTGAGCCTGTAGGTGTTGAACTCGCTGTGTAGGGCCTCCTGCCTGGCCAGGCACTGCGCCGTGAGCTTCTGCATCAGGCTGGCCTCTGTCTCCACGCGCGTCAAGATGCGGGCCAGCTTCTCATTCCGCTCTTCCTCCTGGACAATGGACTTCTTGTAGGCCTCTACCTCACCGTCCACCGACTTGGCATGGTGCTGGCACTCCCTGCAGAGATAGGTGAGATGGCCAAGCCAGTGAGGTGCCCGTAGTATGGCTGGCTTGCAGCTACACCTCCCGCCCTGACACTGACGATGCTCATGCCGGGACGCCACCCATGGGCCACCCATGGGAGCTGCTGGCTCACACTAGCCATCCAGTTCCTCGGGCACAGACAGAACCACCACCTGCCAAGCTCACAGATGGCACAGACAGGACTATGCCCAGGACGGGGGTCTCACCTCGTCCCACAGCTCATGGTGGGGACCCCAAACTCAGGCCACTCCGTTACACAGCTTGTCCCAGGTGGGCAGTGGATTATGGCCCCCCTGGCATGGAGCCACCTGCCACAGGGACACATCACACCCCAGAACACAGACACAGGACAGTGGGGTCCTGTGGGGAACACTCTCAGGGCCCTCTCCCCGCACACAGCGTTTCCTCTGGACATGTCCTCAGACACCGAGCAGCCCCGCCGCGCCCTCCCAGGAAACTGCGTCTGCAGTCTTGGCAGGCATGGTGTGTGCACACGGGCGTGCAGTGTGGACGTGTGGGTACTCGCCTGCACATGGCTGCTCTGGACATGTGTGTTCACACACGCGTGCATGTGCCACAGGCGAGGCTACACACACATGAATGAACACACGTGAATGAACACATGTGCCTAAGTGTGCAGGTCTAGTAGAGGTGTATGTGTGTGCATGCATCCATGGATGTGTGTTCCTGTATGTGGCCATCTTTGTGCGTGTGGCGGCTCAGCATCTCCTGTTCTGTCTCCTGGCTCTTGGTCGGCCGTGGAGATCTCAGCTCCACCAAGATGCATCTTTGTAGGCACGGTGCGGTTAGGACTGAGGCACATGGTGCGGTTAGGGGCCGAGGTACAGGGTGCGGTTAGGGGCCGAGGTACAGGGTGCAGTTAGGGGCCAAGGCGCACGGCATGGCTAGGGACTGTCGGTTGCACCAGCTTTCCCTGAGACTCCCTCATAGCACAGCCCACTCCTGAACATGGGCAGGTCTATCAGGCCCACAGGACCCCAGACACAGCTGAGCCCTTGCCAGTCCCCTGGAGCAGCTCAGCCGAGTCCCTGCGTTGTTGTTGCATCTTAACTCTGCTCAAAGTCACGCAGCATTCTGCGTATACGCATTCTGAGACGCAGGATGCCTGGCTGCCTCTGCGACCCACCCGTGTGTGCATTCCTGTGTGGGGCATTCCTGGGGTCCCACAGGCAGGGATGTGACTGCACAGTCCCTGGAACCCAGGCAGCCCACACTCGGTGGGTGCAGCCATGCACACCAGAAACCAGCCTGCGACTTGGCTGCTTGGCCACCTGTGAGGGGCTGACCGGAAGAGCTGGGGTCCTGGGGGGACCAGGACGCTAGCTGAGTGGCAGGGAGGAGTCAGCTCGCCAAGGACAAGTGAAAAAGTGAGGGCAGGGGCTTGCCACTCCTAGAGGAAGGGAGAAAGCCCCCAAGACACACCTGGCCCTGGCACAGGAGGCTTCACCAGGAAATCTCTGAGATCCTGGATGCCACAGGGAGCCTTGGGGTGGAGCCGGGAAGTGCCAGCTGCAGGGCCCTGGGGGCTCCCTTTGTCCCTGGCGCTCACAAGGACCCCACGGGGAGGCTGGGGCTGTCTCGTCCTTCTCCATCCTCCTTGCTCCTGCATCCTCGCAGCATCACTCCAAGCCCTGTCCCTTGGACCCTGCACCAAGGCCCCTTGTCCAGCACACCCGGCCCCGCCCACAGCCAGCCCCGCCCCCACACCTGAGCGCCTCCAGGATGGCCAGGTGCTCCTCGTCGCGGTGTCGCATGCTCACCAGGCTGCTGGCCCATTGCCGTAGGATGCGCTTCTTCTCCAGGCTGATGGTCTCAATCTCCATGGAGGCCTGCGGCCCAGGGCCGGGTCACGGCGCCTGTCTGGCCGCCCCAGCCCCAAGCACGCCCAGCTCCCCAGGTTCAGCAGAACCCTATCCCCAACTCTCCAGGAAGGTCGGCCTTGGAACCTCTGTCCCCAGCTGGGGAGCCGGGCATGGCTAGTCTGGCCAGACCCCAGGATCCTGTGGTGGGCATTCAGGGAGTGAGCCAGCAGATGGAAGATCTCTCACTCTGTCTGCCTCTCCCTCTCTCTCTCTTCCTCTGACTCAAATCTTTCTGAACGAATGCAAAATGAAAATACATTGTCTGCTGTAAGCTGCTGTTACAAGTTAGCCCGCTGTGAGCAGGCTGCGCCTCAGCAATGCTCTGCACCACGGGGCCGCCACCGTGTGTAACTAAGGCCTGGGCCCCATGACACGGTGGCGGCCACGGCTGCTGGCGGCTGCTGTCTGCGTCTCTTCCCTTGAGACAAAGTCCTCCTTGTATCGTCCCAGGAGGTGAGAGGGCCTTGGCTGAGGGAAGGCACCTTGACAATTGAAGGCAGAAGGAGGCCAGGGCAAGGGTCCTGCCAGCCGCCCAGCGCTCACGGCTTCCAGCAGGTTCCCTGGAGCCTGGCTGCAAGCCTGGCACGGGGAGGCCGGCTTCTGGGTGCTGGTGTGCAGGCGGAGCCACTGGGCCGACCAGGGGAGGTGTGGGCTGTCCTTCCCAGGCAAGCAAGTGCACAGTGCCCTCCTGCCCAGGCTGGACTGACTGGCAGTCATGCATGCTTCCTACCCGATGTCTCCTGTCCACTCAGCGGCCAGCTGTGTCCAGCTGCACAGTCCTTTCAGCACTGTTCCTAGGTCCTGCCTGTCGCTGGGAGCTAGACCCCAAATGTCCCGTGTCCTGACGCCCACCTGAATGCCCTGGTCACGGTGGCGCGGCTCAGATGCTCTCTGTCACCTGCTGAGCTTGCTCATCAGAGGCTGCCCGCCCCCTTGGCTCACTGCAGCCCAGCGGGGGACCATTGCCCTCCCACCCACTGGTCCCAGCAATGCAGGCAGGGTTGGCCCTGGGCACTTCCTCTAGCCGCTCTGAGACTGCCCCAGAAACAAACTGTGGCCTCCCTACCACGCGGCCTGCTGGCCTGGTGTTCTCGGAGGCTCCAGCACTGCCACTGGCTGACAGCCGGGCGCTTGGGGGTGGGCGTGCTGACAGCCGGGCGCTTGGGGTGGGCGTGGCTCTCACCTTGCTCACTGCACTTCGCAGCACCCGGGTGTCCTCTGCCTGGGCAGCATACTGAGCCTCGAACAGGGCGATGTTCTCTTCCAGCTGTTTGGCCCGCGTGGTGAGCTGGTCCACGAACAGGTCCTGGAGGCAGCGACAGCGGTGAGGATAGGGCCAGGGCCCCAGGACTGATGGCGGGCAGCCCGGCCCAGGCCCAGCAGCCAGCAGGGCACACGCACCACACCCAGCACACCTGCTTCTTCTTCTCCATCTCCGCCCGCATCCTCTCTGTCTCTGCCTTCTTCACCACCTGCTTCATCACGCAAATGTCATCCCGCACGTCCTGGTCGACATTCTGCATGTAGAACAGGTGCAGGGCCAGGTTCTCCATCTCCGTCTGGAGGGTCGCCACTGCCGAGAGGAGAGGGGCTGCTCCAGCTCCACCCCATGGCTGGCAGCCCCTCTGCCTGTGCCAACGAGGACAGGGGGGCTGCTAGGGAGCTGGAGAGCCTCCCCAGCCCCTGCCCCTCAGGCCTTCGCCCTGGTAGTCTAGTCTGTGTCTCAGCCAAGAGCCAGGACACAAGTGTGTGGCCGCCGTGCCCACAGCACCCTGACAGAGAGCACATCCGACCCGGGAGGCGAGCCATCGTGGGAGGGTCCGGAACTCCCGAGTGTGGCTGGCTCAGCCACCCGGTGCCCCCGTGCTGCCCAGGCCAAGGCACACGTGGGCTGGACAGCCAAGACAGCACCATTCACCCCGACTCAGGCATGGGCTCTGGTCCTCACTGCTGTCAGCAGAGACCAGTCTTCAAGGGCTGTCTGGATGAGACCCACACGAGACTGTGACGGCTTGTGTGAGTGGAGTATACTCACGCTGTGGGGCGTCCCTGCTTCTGAGGCCAGGCCCTGTAGGAAGCCCAGGAGAACAGGGCCCAGGCCAACTGACCCTAGCAAGCATTCTGGGACTGAAATCGGTGCCATGGCACAATATGCTAAGGCTCCGCCTGCAGTGCCGGCATCCCATATGGGCACAGGTTCAAGTCCTGGCTGTTCCACTTCTGATCCAGCTCCCTGCTTAGGGCCCGGGAAAGCAGCAGAGGTCGGCCAAAGGCCTTGAGACTCTGCCACCTGTGTGGAAGACCTTGGCGGAGTTCTGGGTTCCTGGTTTGGGTCTGGCCCAGCCCTGGCTGTTGTGGGAACTTGCAGTGTGAAACAGCAGGTGACAGTTCTCTGTAACGATAAAAGCGCGGCAGGCCTTCAAGGGACTCCTAAATGCCGCTGGACCCGCCCTCCGGGACTGGCTGCTCGCCTGCTCTCGCAGCCTCATGCTGTGCTGGATGTCAAAAATGGCCTTCATTGCCCTCCTTCTTCAAAGCCTTTTCAGGGATCCCTGCCAGGGACCGCCCAGTGCAGGTCAGGCCCAGTATGCCGGGGGTCTATGCCGGGGGTCGGGGGCAATCTCCTCACTGGGTCTGAAACCTTGTCAGCCTGCATGGTGCAGAGCCAATGCCAAGGCCGGGGTGGGAGGCATGGCACCCAGACAGGGCGAGCACCATGAATGGACCCATTTTGGCTGACAGACACCAACACGCATAGAAGCAAGCCCATATGGGTGTCCAGCTCCTGGCTGACCCGTGCACCAGGCCTTCCTCCAAGGCAGGGGTGCTGTGACACCCTGCTGTTTTGGTGCCTTTGGCGTACAGAATGGACCTTGGTGTTCACCCAAATGTCTTCTTTTCCTTTAATGTATGGGTGGGTCCGTTGCCACCCTTCACCCGCTGACCCCGCACTGAGGGTTTTTGCACCTGCCGGGACTGGGGTGGGGCCTATCATGGCTCCCCTTGGCTTTGGTGGCAAGCACCCAAGGGCCTGGGGAGGGTCTCCCACAGGTCCTGGCCCCTCAAACACTGGGGACAGTGTTCCGAGTTCCTGCGGGACACCTCGTGCTCAGCTTCCACAGCATTCACCCTGCAGGGACCATATCACACCATATCTGGGACTCGTCTGAACGCTTGCCCCCGAAGCCGCTGGCTCTGCCTGGCTGCTTCCTTAGCAGTGTCTTTGAGCTGGGCCTGGGTCGGGATCTTTGTCCTCTGGCGCCTCGTCCACGGGGTCTGCATAGGAGGGCCCAGGGCTGGCTGGGCTTTTCCTGGCTCCCGCAGGAGGCTGGAGCTGCGGGTGTTCTTAAGGGCCCAGACTCCGAACCTCATCTTGGCCGTGTGCGCCCCACGGTCGGGGGTGCCCAGGGTGAATGGGGCTCCTGGAAGGGCCTAGGAGGCCCGGTAGGGTCTGAGTCCTTCATCCACGGCAAAGGGGGTTAAGGTTTCAGCTGGTTCGTCCTTTTTCGGCATTTTCTGTTAATTCAGGGTTCACCGGGGGCGGCTGCCGGATAAGCATCCCCCTTCCTCAGCCCCAGAACCCTCTCTGCCCTCGGAGTGCAACAAGGCCGCTGGCACCACGACCCTATTCCACCGCCGACCCCAGTCTCCCCGTGTCCCGAGGCTTCCGGGTTCACCTTCCTCCGCAGCTGGCGACTCAGGCGGGCACGGCCGACTTCTCGCTTATATGCCAGCACGGGTTCCCACATGTGCACGCTCCGTTCCCGCCTCCCGACCCGGGCATTTGGGTCTCCTTGGGCCACCGTGCCCAGAGCGCGCGGGGCGCTCCCGGGGCGCGCACGCACAGGGAGTCCCTGGGGCGCGCGCGGGGCCGCCTTACGCTTCTTGCGCTCCTGGCCGGCGGTCGCGCAGGTTCGCGTGTAGAGCGCGCGCGCGTCCTGCAGCTCCTCCTCCTTCTGCCGCCGGGCGCACGCGATCAGCGAGTAGCGGTCGTGGCTCTTCTCCAGTTGCGTCTGCAGGCGGGCCAGGTGCTGCTGCACGCGGTACAGGTTCACGCCCAGCTCCTGCCTCTGTGCGCGGCTCTGCTTGTTGGCCACGTCCTGTGGTGGCGGGAGGGAGAAGCGGCGGTCATGGGGAGGGGAGCGGGCGGGGTGGGGGTGGGCTGGACACGCACGTACGCACCAGCTCCTTCACGTCGAGTTTCAGCTTCTCGATCTGCCGGTTGAGGTAGCTCTTCAGGGCGCTCTGGAATCTCTCCATCAGGGGCTAGGGCGGTGGGCAAGCCACAGGCCACCGTCACCATGCGCGCTCAGCCCAGGCCCCGCGCAGGTGTGGCAGGGGCAGAGGCCGCCTCCCTGCGGGCCGCCCGCTTCCGCCTTAGGGTCTTTCTTGGGAAGCCTCAGTTAGGGGCACCTGTGGTCCCGTCCCAGGCACTCCAGGAGCAGGTGGGGGCTGGTAGCGAGCGGAAGCTGGGCTTGTGACACGCAGTGTGCCTGGCCACCGTGTCCCATGAGTGAATGCCTAGGCCCCCACCTCCCCCCAGGGCGTGGTGGGTGGGGCCGCTGGACCATGGCAGAATATGGCTTTCTGTGTGCGCTGAGGGAGGGACAGCAGCTCCTGTCTCGCAGCGGCTCTCCGTGGGAAGGGGCCGACTTTGCCCACATTCCCTGCCTCAACCCCACTCCAGGAGTGACTGGGCTCCACATGGCCCTGTGCCAGGAGAGACCTCCCCCTCCCCCCAGTGGTGCTGCGAGCAGGTGTGGGCTGCAGAGGGGGCCCAACCCAAAGCACCCCTCCCCCCGGGCACTCCTTACATGGTTTGGATCCAAAACCACCAGCTGAGTTGTGTCACCATCAGCCTCGCCACTGCTGTGCGACTCGCCTCTGTCCCCGGAGGCCCCTTCCTCTGAGGGTGGCTGTTGGATCCTGTCCAGAAAGCTGCCCAGGGGCACCTCCGGAGACACCCCTGGGGCAGGGTCAGTGGAGAGAGTGGGCTTCAGTGGGCAGAGCCAACTCCACGGCCACGCGGCGCAGCCAGCCAGTGCAGGGCTGGGCAGTGTCTGGCAGGAGGTTTGCGTGGCTCCAGCTGCCCCATCTCCAGAGGGCACTGGCTGGTATGCAAAGTGGATGGCAAAGAGGACCCTACTGGTGGGCTAGCTTTGGTAGTTCCGTTGATATATTCTTTACTTTAGAAACATATTTATTTTATTTTCATTGGAAAGTCAGACATACAGAGAGAAGAAGAGAGACAGAGAAGAAGATTTTCTGCCCAATGATTCACTCCCCAAGCAGCCGCAATGGTCGGAGCCGAGCCAATCCAAAGCCAAGAGCCTCTTCCGGGTCTCCCACGCAGGTGCAGGGTCCCAAGGCTTTGGGCCGTCCTCGACTGCTTCCTCAGGCTTCCAGCAGGGAGCTGGATGGGAAGTGGGGCTGCCAGGATTAGAACCAGCGCCCTTATGGGATCTCAGCACATGCAAGGCGAGGACTTTAGCTGCTAGGCTACTGCGCCAGGCCCTATGATCTTTACTTTTAAGACAGCATCTATTTCAAAGACAAAGTGATAGAGAGAGAGAGAGAGAGCGTCCGTGTGCTGGTTCACTCCCTACGTGGCTCCAACAGCCAGGCTTGATCCAGGCTGAAGCCAGCAGCCAGAAACTGTATCCAGCTTTCCCACGAGGTGGCAGGGGCCCAAGGACTTGAGCCATCAGTGCTGCCTGCCAAGTGCACCGGCAGGTTGCTGGATCTGAAGTGGAACAGCTGAGCCTTGATCCAGAGCCCTGACTCCCCTGCCGCTGGCCATGTGGGGAGTGAAGCAGCAGATGGAAGAGCCCTCTCTTTGTGACTCTGCCCTTTGACACACACATAAATCTTTGTGAATTGAAACAATGGAAGCTGGACGGTAAGATTGGGTGCAGCCTTTCTGAACAGGTGGGAGAAATGCCTGTTCTATTTGGTTCTTTCTGGGTCGGACGGGGGCTGTTCTCGCTTTGCTTGGGACCCACATGAGGGTCTGTGAGCCGGGCTCTCGGGCGCCTGTACCTGAGGGTGCCTTTCCATGTCCTAGGGAGACAGAGTAAGACAGCCGTGCCCTGACAGCCTTTGAGATCAGTGGGCAGGTGTCCCCGGGCCTCTCCGAGAGGCCAGGAGGCTGTCAGCCTGGGCAGGGCGCAGCTAGCAGCCATGGCTTTGGATCCACTCTGCCATTCGCTCGGTTGCCTAGCAACGCTCCAGGCTCTTGTCTGACTGGGAAGGGGGTCCCCACACTGCCAGGGCCCGAGCTCTGTCAGGGTTCTCCCCCACTGCCAACCATGTTCTCCAAGATGTAAGGTGACCCTGTGATGGTGGGGGAGGGGGGGCAGCCCTCCCGTCTCCGGAAATGCAAGGGGCTTCTGAGCCTGGCCATACCTGGCTCCTCTGTGCCGGGCCCGCCCAGGTCTGAGGACAGGATGCTGCTCTCCCGGCTCAGCCGGAGGTTCATCCACCGGGGACCGTCCTGCAGCACAAACAAGGGACCTTGAGCCGGCAGGGGTGCACTGGGCCCTGGGCGCCCCTCCATAAGAGCCCACTGGCAAAGACTCACACGGCTGTCCACTCGCCTTGTATAGCTACCCTACCCCCAGAGGTCCTGGGGGCCTCAGCCTCCCGACACACCTGCTGACCACACCCATGCACGTGGTGAGACAAATACGGGGCTCAAGTCCTTGGTGCCAGCCTGGTTCCACATCATTCCAAGTTGCTACTCACCGGGCGATGTTCAATGAACAGCCGCTCACAGACAAGGCTTCCCCAGTCTGCTTGCCCCAGGGACAGAGCTGGTGTCTGCTCCTGGGGGGGCGCAGAGGGCCCCTTCTGGGCGGTGCAGGGGTGTGTGCCAGGACACGGAGGGCCCGGCTTTGCCTCACTGGCCCTCCTCCAGGGGTCCCCCACTGGAGTCTTGTCCTGCAGGAACCCCTGCCCTGGCAAAGCTAGGCTGAGACTGATCATAACAGTGAAGTGAGTCGAGGCTGGGGGAGCAGGCAGGGCTGGAAGGGTCGCGGCTCTCTGCCCTGGCGGCCATCCCAGGGACATGGGACACTGAGTCTGTCCCTGTCAACAGGGAGGCCATGGCTGGTCAGCGGGCACCCCACTGCCCCGAGGTTCCCAGAGTGAGATGGGCCCAGAACCTGCTGAGTTGAACAGCTTCTCTCACACAGCAAAGACCTCGAGGAGGGAGCGTGCACCTAAGACTCCTGGCCAACTACAGGCACCTTCTCGCTCCAATGTTGGGATTCTTGTGGATTCAAGTAGAAAAAAATGAGGAAGTCCTACGTTTTTATTCTATTTCATTGGTTCCTTCAAGTTTATAATTGTTGGAAACATTTGAAAAGTTTTAGAAGGTTTAGAAAATTTTTAGAACCAATGGGTGGAAGTTGGACCAGGCAGTTGGACGGTGGGATATGGAGTCATCCCGGACCACGGTTCTGGCCTTCGGTGGCCTTGTGTGACCACTGGCCGGCGCCCTGCCTGATGCCACTCCGGAAGGCTGGGACCCAGTGGCCACGGACATCGCCAGACTCACGGATGCTGAAGCAATCCTCCCCCGCTTCTCGCTACGGACCTTGCCCCCTCCCACCTAAGGGGGAACCCCGAAGCTAAGAAAACCCTCACCCCGGCCACTGGCCGGTAGCAGGAACGGTGCCGCTCAGACTCACCGGCCTGCTGACCACGGGCTCCGATGACGCCCGGCCCACGGCTTGCTGGGGCGGCTCCATGGGGAGACTGCTTGGTGTCTGCGGCTCCGAGGGACCCTCCAGGTCGGCGCCCCTGCCCGTGCCCTGGGCCAGCTCCGGGGGGCCCACGTCATCCTGGAGACTGGTGTCTGAGAAGGCTGTGTCCACAGAGCTGACCTGCCCCTCTGGGGACTGTGCTTCCATGTCCGAAAAGAATTCTTCCTCCGACTCCCACTCCCTGTCCAGGCGGGCCTTCCAGTCCTCGGGACCTTGGCTGCCCACCTCCGCACCTTCATACTCCTCCGCCTCTGCGCCTCCACCTCCTGTCGTGCCTTCATCTTCTTGAGGGCCTCCATTGCCCTCCGCGCCTCCATCGCCCTCCGCGCCTCCATCGCCCTCCAGGCCTCCATCGCCCTCCAGGCCTCCATTGCCCTCCGCGCCTCCATCGCCCTCCGCGCCTCCATCGCCCTCCGCGCCTCCATCGCCCTCCAGGCCTCCATCGCCCTCCGCGCCTCCATGGCCCTCTGCGCCTTCATCGCCCTCCGCACCGCGATCACCCTCAACGCCTCCATCCCTGTACGCTTCTGCATCCCTCACAGCTTCTCCATCCTCCTTGCCTTCCCGCTGGGCTGTCTCAGCCCCTTCAGAAGGCTGGATGGCACCTCCAGCTTCTGCGTCGGTCCAGTCGCTGCTCCCAAGTGGTGATCTCTGTAACAGGGTGGCAGGGAGCGACCAGGAGGACCACAGCCAGCTAGCTCTCCACAGCGAACTCTGCTGGCACATGCCTGGGCCTCCCGCCCTGCCTCTCCCACACATCCTGTTTCTCAGACATTTGAACCCCCCAGCCCCGGTCCAGCCCTCTCCCCAGGAGTTTTACCGGAGCACCGTAGTCTTGGCTCCCTGCTGTCTCCTCCTCTGACGGCTGCCCGCCCTCCGGCTGAGACCTGGTTGGTTGCAAGGGAACACCTTGGGCAGTTCCTGGGGACAGCTCTCCTCCTGGGTCTCTGCCTCCTCCTCCAGGCTGTTGGCCAGCCAGGATGTTGTCCTGTTTGTCCCTGACTCTGGGTCCTGTCTGCTGGGTCGGAGAGGTGTCACGGGGAGAGAGGACACCCCTGATGAGGATCGGCAAGGTGGGACAGCGGGAAATAGCCACCTTGGGATTCCAGCCTCCCTCGTGGGCGCCTGTCCAGGTCCGGCCCGCTCCACTTCCCATTCAGCTTCCTGCTAATGTGCCTGGGAAGCCAGTGGAGGACAGTCCCAGTTCTTGGGTCTCTGCCACCCAAGTGGGACCTGGAAGAAGCTCCTGGCTCCTGGGTTCAGCCTGGCCCAGCCCTGGCTGTTGGGGCCATCTGCCAAGTGAACCCGCAGACAGAAGATTTCTAACTCTGCCTTTCAAATGAACAAATCTGTTTCAATGCTCACTCCAAGCCTGTAACACAGAGGAAGCCAGGATGAGCCTGCCCAAACCTTGCCCGTCCTCTGCACCCAGGCACCTCACACTGGTGCTCAGACCACACCCACTGCCCCGTGTGGGCCTCGCCTGGACCACAGCAGTGCCAGCACAGGGAGGTGCAGAAAGGTGGGACTTGGTCCTGGGTGCCCAGGCAGCCGTCACCCCATCTGAGAGGCGGCCTGAGAGGGACACTCATCGGTATCCTGGGGGACTGTGTGGTCCCGGCTGGTCCCTCAGTGGGGCCAGAGGGACCTGCTGGGGTTTCTAGAGTGGACTCCTGCCAGGCCAGGCCAGGCCACCGTGTTCATCGCCAGGTAAGGAGGGAGGACAAAGGAGCAGGAAGTGAGGGGGAAGAGGGGGAGCCCAGCAAGTGGGGATACTGTGAGGCTGAGGGCATGGCCACCCTTCCTTCTTGTATTTCATTTCCCTGTCCCTCTGCTCCTTGGTTCATTGTTCCCTGCCGCAACCCCCTCGCCCCATCTGCCTTTACCCCTCGCCCCGCAGCCCCACAGCCCCTCTGCTCCGCTTACCCGCCGGTTGGGTCGCCCGGCTCCGCCATCACCTGTTGCTAGGAGACTCCGTCAACACGCGCCGGTCGGATATGCGCTTTGCCGTGTGCGCGCCCCCGAACGCTCGCGTCTAAACGTGCCAGAGGGTGCAGGCGCCAGTCTGGATTTCCTGGTCGCCGGGAACTCCTCCCTGTGCGTCCCCGCACCTGGGACCGGCTCTGCCCAGGGCTGCAGTCCGGGTGGCGGTACTGGGGCCAGGACGCCTGCAGGTTCCCACTTCCACCCGCTCTGGGCGCCCCTTCCGCATAGGTCCTGGGATCCCCCGCCGAGGGGGGCGCCCGAGACCCTCCGGTGGGTGTGGGTCCCTCCCACCTAGAAACCCAGGATGCACATGGGGCGGCGGGTATAGGGTGGGCTCCGTGCTCACCCCCGGCAGCCACGAGTTCGGGGAGCCGCCCAGGTGCCAAGGGGCGCGGGTGGGCACTATGGGTCCGGCCTTGAGGGGCGGTCCGGAGGTCGGGCCTCGCAGCATGTCTCCGCCCCTCTCCGCCTCACTGGTAGCGGTGGCGGCGACAGAGGAGGTTCTGGGCCCAGCGCAAAGCAAATCCCGCCCCCAGGCGGGACCCAGGTGGGTGTCTGGTTGGCGGGATCCCTGGGGCGGAGTGTTGGGTGGCCCGGCCTGTGGCCGTGGGGCCGGGAGGGGCCAGGCCGGCAGCAGCCCCCGGGTGCGCGTGAGCCTGGCGCGGTGGGTAGCCCCAGATGGAAGCGGGGAGCCGGGGTTTCCCTGGGCAGTGGGTACGGGTCCGAGCGCGGGTGGGCCCGGTGCGAGCGGGCTCGGCCCCCGCGTCTGGTGCGGTGTGAGCCACGTGCCCCCAAGCGCGCCCTCCCCGCGGCATGCCCGTGGCGTGCGTGGCCTGAAGCTGCTGGGAGTGCAGTGTGAGAGCCACGCGTGGGAACTCATTGCCTTCTGGGCTGACTCCGCCTTGAGAGAATAAAAAGGCTAGGGGTGTGTGTGTGTGTGTGAGGAGGCAGTTGATTTGAGATGGCTAAAAATAACCCGAGGAACCCTGCCAGGAGGCGCGAAGCTTGTGCTCCTGACGCTGGAAGTTGGTGTCGTGTGTCAGCCATGGTGCAGTTGGGATTTGATTTAAAATGAAAGGTGACTCTGCCGCCATAGTGTGAGTTGGCTTCCTGTTGCTGGTGGTCACGGCCTGGGGCAGCATGTGGAGTGGGCACTCCTGGGGTCTCATGGAGCTGGACCCCAGGGTCTGCGCCTTCCCCTCTCCTGCCAGGAAGAGCAGGGAAGAGACAGGCCTGTGTGTGTGTGTGGGGGGGCAGGTGCAGGCCCGAGCAGGTGTGGCCACAGACCGGGCACTGGCGAGGCGGTGTGGCCATGGGCCGGGCACTGGGGAGACGGTGTGGCCATGGACTGGACACTGGGGAGGCGGTGTGGCCACGGACCGGGCACTGGGGAGATGGTGTGGCCACGGACTGGACACTGGCACGGCAGGTGCCTTGGTGCGATTGGTCGGAGCGATCCCACGGTGGAGAGGCCAGTGTGGGTTTGTTCCAGCCAGGGATGCACTCCCTCTGCTTGTCTGGGGCCCTAGCGAGCCAGTTCTCTTTTTGAACATGTGAAAGACAGAGTATCAGGAGGAGAGAAACAAACTGAGACAGAGCCAGGGGGTGAGGGGGAGGAGGAAGAGAGATGTCTTCCTTCTGTGGATTCACACCCCAAATGATTGCAGTGGCTGGAGCTGGGCCAGGCTGAAGCCGGAAGTCCCGTCCCGGTCTCCCACGGGGGGAGGGATTCAGTCATTTGGGCCATGCTCTGCTGCTTTTCTCTGTGCATCAACAGGGAGGTGGATGGGAAGAGGAGCAGCCGGGACTCGAACCAGAGCTCCCATATGAGATGCTGGCTTTGCAAGTGTCAGCTGAGCTGCTGTGCTGCCACACGAGCCTCGGGAGCACTCTTGCCGATCCAGGGACAGTGGCAGCTCTGTCAGGTGTGGGTATGTCCTGCCCACAAAGCAAGCTCCGGGGTCCGGGATGCCATCCTGTCCAGCCTCATCCAGGACACAGCTGGGAGCATCTGGGATACTAACGGGAGCCCGTCTGGGATCCTGGAGCATGCAAGGCGTGGGTTTTAGCCATTGAGCCACTGTGCTGGGCTCAACAGCCATCCCTTACACAGTTTGTGCCAGCTTCCTGTAGAGTGAGGTTGGTTACTCGGTTTCTTGTGGGAGAGTGCTTGGCAGGGCAGGATCTGGGCTGGGCACTTGGTGCAGGTGGATGCGAATTGTAGAATTGTACCGTTGTATCATCCATTGTGTTTCATTTGTATCTCATGTGTGCTAAGCTCTCAGCCACAGCACCTGCAGGGAGAAGGCGGCCTCTTCCTCCCCGAAGTACCTACAAGTGGTGGTTTTGTTCTCTGTAATTCTTCTACATTATTTACTGGGGAAGAGAGAGCCAGAGAGCATTGGCGGCTGCTGGTCCAACCCCGCATGCCTGTGATGGCTGCAGCGTGCCCGGTCAGGGAGCTTGGTGGGTCCTGTGCAAGCGGCGTGGAGGCCCCAGCTCCTTGGACCTGAACCCTGCCTGCTAGGGTGTAGGTCCTCGGGAAGCTGGGGTCAGGAAGAGAGCCAGGGCTTGGCCATGGTGCAAAAATGCCCAGTGTGCTGGTGGCTTTTTAAAGCTGATTTTATGTGCCTCTCTTAATCCGTGTGCCTTGGGGCACCTGGCTCAGGTGTTAAAGTGTGTCATTCCCCATCTCCTGGGAGCCCAGCGGGTTTGGGGTGCCTTGAAGACCCTGTGCTTGGTTTCCACCTGATGCAGCTTCTGCTGTGGGGGCGACACAAAGAAAGGGGCAGAAGGCAGCCCGGCCTGCTGTCCAGCAGGGACGCTGAGCCCTGGGTGGGCCGTGAGCTCCTCTGTGGTCCCCTCTGGGCTGGCCCCTGCTGGCCCTTGTTCCTCTTGTGCTGTGCCCTCGTTCCTACTGGCCTGGCCCCTGGGTTTGCTATGGGCTGTGTGACTCTGGGCCAGTCCTGGCATTGCGGGAGAAGACACTGCTGCCCCCTTACCTCGTGCATTCTCCACGTGGGGTCAGTGGGCTGCCATGTGGGTGTCACCGTGTGGTTCCCCGGCTGGATGGGAAGTGGGGCAGCTGGGATTTGAACAGGCACCCACGTGGATGCTGCTGCTGGAGGTGGCAGCTCTTCCCGCTGCACCACAGCTCCAGCTCCGGCAGCTTACCCTGTGGGGTACAGGAGGCAGCAGGAAGCACACAGACGGCTTGGAGCTGTGTGACTGAGGGGGTGTGGTCTCCGGAGGCAGCACCCTCTAGTTAGGGACAGAGCCTACGAGTGAAGACTTGATGTGCATGAAAGATGCTCATGAAACCGCAAACACTGCGCCGTGAGACTTCATTTTACAAAACAAACACTCCTGGCTAAGGTTAGTGGGCAAAGCCCCGTGGGCCCAGAAGCAGCCTGTTGGTTTTTCTCCAGAACATTCTGGGGGAGGGTGTCTGTGGGCACAGGATTGAAGAAGGGACCACCATGTTCCAGGAGGAGGCAGAGATCTCATTACAGGCTCTTCTGTGCTGAGTGACAGGGGGCCCTGATTTCTGGTCAGGGGACTCCCACAGGGAGTGTGGGCGGCACTGGGGCATCCTAGGTGCCCATGTGCTGCCGTCTTCTGCTGGGTGCCCAGCACAGCCTGCCGGGGGTGCTCAGGGGCAGCCAAACACTTCCTCCCAAAGCCGGCTTTGATTTAGGCAAGCAGCTGTGAGGGAGGGGTTTGCTGCCAAGCCCGGAGATGGCAGAGGGTGACACTGGTTCTGGACAGAGGCCACAGCCATGGCCACCACAGAATGCCCAGGCCGTGGCCAGCCAGGTCGCGGCTGACGGCGATGCCCGCAGGGTTGGGTAACAGACCACCAATGTGACGTGGTGGCCATGTGTCTCAGCTGTCTCGCGGGCTGCCTGTGCTGCCTTCAGTGTGGCTCCTAGGAGACGCGACGGGGTCCGGGGCTCACAGGGTACGCTGTGACTTCATTGGGTTTGCAGGATTCTCGAGTCTGGCTGTCTCCTAGCCCAGAGGAGCTGGGCCGGGCTTGGGATGCGGCTCTGCCTGGTGGCTCAGGGCAAAGGGCGGCGTTTCCCAAGACTGGCTCCCCGGTGAGAGCTCGGCTGTATGTCCCTCAGCCTGGGGGTGCTGGCATACGCAGTCCTTGGGGGCTGCTGTCTGGGGTAATGGTGGAGGTAGGGGCAGATGGCCATGAAGCAGAGAGGGCACCCAGGCCCTGGCTGGCATTTCTGCCCAATCCCCACCAAGAATGTGTCCTGTGGGGCCTGGGGGCTTCTCCCAAGGACCCATCCCGGACCCCATCACGAACAGGCCACCTCCTTCCGTCTGTGGCTTTGGGACTTAACAGGAGCCAAGTCCTGTCCTACCCCTGGCAGTGGCCATGTGGCCCAAGTGACTGAGTGAGGTCTTTGGCAGAGAGGGGCATTCCTGGTTTCGGGGCAGGCTGGCCTGGGGGAGCTGCTGTCTCCTGCCTTGATACACTTTGCGATGTCTGGGGACTTGGAGCTGCTTTCCCCTGGTCCGTGGGATCCTGGCCGCTCTTGGGAGCTTGGCCATTGTCTGCGTCTCGGTCCCCTGTTGGGGGTACTGGCCTGGTCCTGCTGGGGATGCGGCTCCCGTTTGTGGTGTCTCTGGAGGCACTCTCTCTGGTTCTCATCCTGGTGCGGCAGCTTGGCTTGTCGGAGGCCTTGGGTCTCCTTCCAGTGGGGTGTGTGGCACCTGGGCATCGGCAGGGGGCAAGGAGGGCTCGATGGCGCCAATACCCATGGGCACACAGCAGATGGAATTCCTGGAGCCTGTGGGAATCCCTTCCACAGTGGGGCCAGGCTTCCTGTGGGGCGATTCCACCCAGTCAGGTCAGGAGGTGCCCTCCCTGGCTGAGCCCGAGGAAACACTGGGCGGCCTGTCCTTGCTGAACCTGCCCTCAGGGTGTCTGCCAGTGAGAGGGGGTGCCAGCCTCGGGAGTAGTGGCTTGCACCCTCATCATCCCTCTCCTTCTCCCAGACAGGAATGGACGCGCCCCGCCCGGGCCGGAACCTGGGAGGATGGAAGCAGCTGCCCTGCCATGACTCTGGGCCATCTCCTGCGCCCGGCCTCCTCCTGGGCCTCTCACCTCCTGACCCTCACCCCTGCGGGCGGCAACCCCGCTGTGCTGCATGGGGAGAGCCTCTACTCCAAGAACAGTGTCTGTCTGCTCCCCCCGAGGGCCTGCAGGGGCTGGGGGAGTACCACCCAGGTGAGCTGGCCCAGGAGGTGGGGAAGGACCAGCCCATCCCTCGCCCATCCTTCACCCCTCACCTGCCCTGACCCTGGCTGCACAGGTGCCCCATGACCTCGGCTTTGCACGTGGGGAACAGGAGGAGCTGGGGACTCCTTTTTTGGGGATGGCAGTGGTCCCGTTACTGCTTGAGCCACTGAAATCCACACCGAGTCTGGGTGGTTCCACTTCCTGTGCGGCTCCCTGCTAAGACCCCGGGGCAGTAGCAGAGTATGTTCCAAGTGCCTGGGCTCCTGCAGCACAGGGTCACCCAGATGGAAGTCCAGGCTCCTGGCTGCAGCCTGGCTCCCGCTGCAGCCCTGCTCCCGCTGCAGCCCTGCTCCCCATTTCAGCCCTTTGGGGACGTCAACCAGCAGACGGGAGATCTCTCACACTGCCATTCAGATGAATAAGTGTTTGCAGAGGTCCTTAGAAAGTTCTAGAGCTGTAAGAGGTTGCCTCCCAGGGCAGAGGAAGTGGGGCCCTGCCCAAACCTGGGACTTGCCAGAGTCAGGACTCCACCCCCAGCCCCCCACATTTGGAGGCAGCCCGCCTCAGCGTTTTCTTTGTCTTGTCAGCAGCTGAGACAGCTGTGCCCCCCAGGAGGGCTCCTTGGGGTGTGAGGCCCCCAGGCAGAGCCACGAGTGCACACCCCCTAGAACAGAGCGGCCCCCAAGGCCTCTTGCAGGAGTGGGCCAGGCCTGCAGTGAGCAGATGTCTGCTAGGGTCCCTGGCAGGCTGCTGGGAGGAGGCTCCTGGGCCCTGGCCCTGTAGCCCTGGGCTTCCTCTGCTGCGGGCAGGGCCCCAGGCAGGTGTCGGGATGCTGAGAGCTTGGGAACCACCATGACTTTTAATTTAATTAATTAACTTATTTTTAAAGGTTGATTCTCAAGATTGAGTGGGAGCGAGATCCTTTGGTTGCAGCCTCAAATGCCCGCTGCAGGAAGAGCTGGGCCAGCCAGGTGTTCTGGTGGGGGCGTCACCACCCGCTGCCTCTCACACCCTGGCAGGGAGCTGGATTGCAAGAGGAGCAGCTAGGGCATCTTGGTGCTGGGCGAGGGTGTCCCAGGGGGCAGCTATGCCACAACGCCCACCCCAGTGAACTGTCTGAGCCAAGCTCGCTGCTCTGCCGCCGTGGCCAGCATGCACGCACGCTGTCTGTGAGGTGTAGGGACATGTCTGCCTGGTCACTCCCCACACTTCCCACATGGCCAGGGCTGAGCAGGCTGAGCTGGGCTCCAGGTGCCAGGGAGCTGCATTCCCTCAGCTGTCTCCTGCAGGAGCTGGGAACGGGGTCCAGGCATCTGAGCCAGTGACTTGACTGCAGGGCAGAGTGCCCACTGTGGCCTGGGGGCCCTCACACCCTGGTGACCGGAGTCCGAGCTGAGATCCAGCCGGCTCAGCGGCCAGCCCACGCTCCCCCAGCCCCAGGCCTGTCCTTGTGGGTGGATGGGGTGTGGACCCTGCGCAGGTGAGAGTGGAAGGGCCTGTGGGCACGGCCTTTTCGACAAAGCCCCCAGGAACCAGCACCATGAGGGAAAGGGGACTGGGGGCGGGGAAGAGTCTGAGGGTGGAGCCATGGACGCTTGTTGCTGTCCCCGGAAGCAGAGGACGTGGGCAGGTGCCAAGCAGTGCTGGGGGACTGCCTGCAGGCTGCTGCTCCAACCCTTTTCAAATAGAAGCAGGGGCACACGTGGCCCTCCTGATCCCCTGTCCCGCTTGCAGGTCACCTGTGCTTGTACTTGGAGGATGAGCTGCTGGGGGCCACCCTCATCCTGGCCTGGGTCCCCAAATCTCGTATCCAGTGGCAAGACGAGGAAGCCCTGTGCTACATCACGCCTGACAGCTCCCTGTGTGCAGGGCACCGCCGGTCCGTGGCCAGTGCACCCAGAGCTCGGACGGCCCCAGCAGGCCTCACCCACCACCATCACAGGGACGAGGATGTGCTAGAGGAGGCTCAAGGGGCCGCGGACACTGTGGACACCAGCTCCTCCGTGGAGGAAGCAGACGGCCTGGCCCGGGGCCCCTGCACCGACAGCGCCTTCCCGGCCCCAAAGCTGGCTCATCCACCATGAGCCCACAGGATGGTGAGCCCACAGGATGGGCCGGAGGACAGCCAGGAGCCACTGGCTAAGGCCCCGGAGGAGGAGGGCTCCCTGGAGCTGTTAGCCGACGGTGTGAACGGGGACAGTTCCTTTGACTCGGCCTCGGCCTCTCACCCACCAGCGCAGTGCGGGCCGAGTGCAGCGGCAGCAGGCAGGCCCCGCACAGCCAGGGTGGGGACCCTGCTGGGCTCAGGTGCAGCCCCCTCCCCAAGGTGAGTCCCAGGCCACTCCCGTGGCAGTCTTGGTCCTTTTGGGGCTCATTTCTCAGAGATCTGGTGGGCACCCCGAAGCCTGTGGCACTGCCTGAGGTACATGACCTCCAGCCAGGCCCTGGCTCTGCCTACAGCCCATGGGACTCCTCTCCCAGCTGGCTGGGCGTCCGCTGCTCCCCTCTGTGAGCTTGGGAAGGCAAGAAGGTTGGTGGCAGCCCACCCTGGGGGAGGCCTGGTCTGCTCGCAGGTGGACTGCAGGGCCAGGACCACCATCTGTAGCCCTGCTGAGCAGGAGGGGGCGTCCTCACATTTCCTGGGCCCTTGCAGTTCTCAGAGACAGCTTGCATAGCCCCCGCCCAGGCTCGGTGGGAAAAGCAATTGTGATGATGGCAGGCGGTGGACAAGCAGGGTTCAAGTGGTCAGCGGAGGAGGGCTCTGGGCCGTGCAGGGTTCAGGTGGTCAGCGGAGGGTGGCCCTGGGCCATGCAGTGTCCAGGCGGTCAGTGGAGGGCAGCCCTGGGCTGTGCAGTCAACACGGAGGGCCCTGGGCCGTGCAGGGTCCGGGCGGTCAGCGGAGGAGGGCCCTGGGCCGTGCAGGGTCCGGGCGGTCAGCGGAGGAGGGCCCTGGGCCGTGCAGGGTCCGGGCGGTCAGCGGAGGAGGGCCCTGGGCCGTGCAGGGTCCGGGCGGTCAGCGGAGGAGGGCCCTGGGCCGTGCAGTGTCCAGGTGGTCAGTGGAGGAGGGCCCTGGGCCGTGCAGGGTCCAGGCAGTCAGCGTGGGTGTTGATGCCCTGAGCTCCGTGCTATAGGCTGTGTCTGTGCGTTCTCCAAACCCGAGCCCCGGGGACAGGTCCAGTGGCGTTGTCTTGGGCTCATGGGGGGGAGAGAGGCTGGAAGGGAAGGAGGGCTGGGGTCCCCCTGGCAGGACCACTGTGCACTCCAGGTCCGGTGCTCAGGCTGTCTGCAGCCCTGGTGTGGCCGGGCCGAGCAGAGGGGCTGCCCAGGAGGGGACTGGGGTAGATATTGTCTGGGCGTCTCCTTGGTGAGATGTGTGAGATGTTCCCGTTCGCCCTGGCTGTTTGGGGGCACAGAGAAGGGGGCTGGCAGCCTGGAGGAGGGCTGCAGGACAGATGGGCTTCTCTGAATGCCCTAGGGCTTGGCACCCAAATCCTGCCTGGGTCCCGCTGCCTGGGTACAGCCGGAGCGCCCTCTGGTGCTGCCACGCGGCACTGCAGGGTACCTGGGGTGATTCCCAACTCTGCCCACCTGGCAGGGACGCCCGCGTGACCTGTGGTCGGGGTGGCAGGGTCTGAGTCGAGGCCTGGCAGTTGTTTAACGGCCCTGCCGTTGTTTAATATGGCTTTTTTATCAGCAACCCAAAGATCACTCATATCTAAGTATTCGAAAGGCAGAGTTACAGAGTGGGGGAGATGGCTGCAATGGCCAGGGTGGGCCAGTCCTGCGCTGCTGGCTTCCGCAACCCTTCAGGGCCATTGGCCACAGTTTGCACAAGCCCCAACTCCTCTGCCTGGGAGCCACAGTCCGTCCCCTCTGGCCCCCTGCTGGGTGCCGGCCTCCTCTCCTCACTTGCCAGCCCCTCGGGTGGTGCTGGCTCTCTGTCCTCCTGTCCACGGCTGTTGGGCAGGGGAAAGACGCACTTGGGAATGGACATATCTGCTTCAGCCCCCAACTCCACGGTGGTCTCGAGCCTGGAGTGGTGTACCTCAGAGCTGCAAACGCCGCCCCGGATCTGGAGGGGTAGGGTGGCCCTGGTACCCGTATCCCCAGCGGCTGCCCACTCCTTTCTGCTGATGCCCAGTGTGGGGGTCTTGGTCCCACTGCACCTTCCCCAGCCTTTCTGCTCCCTGGCACTTTTGGAAACGGCAAGCCCTTGACATTTGCTGGGGCTGCAGAGCAGGTGCCCGGCTGGTTGCTCCTGGCAACCCCAAGCGTCGTGGAGGCGAGCCCCCACCAGGCCCTGAGACCCTGTGGGAGGTGTGGCTTCTGCTTGGGAGCCGGGTTCTTGGTTCTTCCTGGAGTGCGAGTTCTTGGGGTGCCCGGGTTGAGCAGCCAGGCACCCAGACCCCCTTTGGGCAGGGCAGGGAGGCTGGTTCACGGGGCCCCTCTAGTGGCAGAACTGGAGAACTACATGCCCAGGCTGGGGCTGGGCTCGGACCAGGAGTGGACCCCCTTCCTGGGAACCTGCGTTTCCCTGCAGTGTTTGGTCCCCTGAAAAGGTGGCCCTGGTCCTCTACTCACTGCACATTCCCGTGTCACTGCGTGGGACACACGAGGGCAGGACCCAGTTCCCAGGGGGTAGGGGTGCTGACTGGCACCCAGCAGAGGGGCCACCTGGACACCCTTGGCCAAAGCAGTGCTCATGGCCTGGCAGGGCAGTTGAGTGAGTCAGTGATACTCGGACCTGCACCTCCAGTCACACCCCACCCCCACCCCGGGATGGCATGGTCCTGGCATCCACCTCAGTTGGGGTTGAAGTCAAGGCCTGTGGCCTGGCGCTAACTGGGAAGGAACTGTGGCATGGAGGTGCAGCCCGGACGTATGTGGGGGGCAGCAGGCTGGGGTCCCGGGGGACGCTCCCACTCAGCAGCCGCTCTGCCCCTGCCTCCAGCTGATGCAGACCCTGGGGCAGCAGGGATGGTCCCAGTACCAGCTGGGGGACCTGGCTGGGGTTCCAAGCTCCCATCTTCGGTTCAGCCCCAGCCGTTGTGGCATTCAGGGAGTGAGTCCGTGGGAAGGAGCTCTCTGTTTCCTTAGTAAATATAAGTAAATCCCCCTCCCCCTTTAAGAAAGGTATACTATTCTCTGGCTTATTTTCAGATCATATAAATATTTTGCCTTTTAAAAAAGGTGTATTTGGGCCTGGCGCCATGGTCTGGTGGCTAAAGTCCTCGCCTTGAACGCACCGGGATCCCCTGTGGGCACCAGTTCTAATCCTGGCAGCCCCACTTTCCATCCAACTCCCTGCTTGTGGCCTGGGAAAGCAGTTTAGGACGGCCCAAAGTCTTGGGAACCTGTACCTGCAGGTACAGCTCATGGAGGCCAGCAGAGGACGTCCAGTGCCAGACGACGGAGAGCAGAAATGGTTGGACAACTCTCCTGGCTGAGGTCTGGCAGTGTCTGGGCGAGTGGATACACTGTGGTGGACTTTGTCAGCCAAAGGACCTTGGAAAGATTTTCTCAGTTTCGTGCAATGAAGCCGACAACATCTCAGAATTATCAGAACCACTCCAGCAGTCACTGGGAGCATTCTCCACATCGGGTTTCTAAGCTCACGTCTAGTGGGCGGCCCTCATCCCCGGGTCCTGATGTGGTTTGGCAAAAATAAAATATATGAATTAAATAAAAAGGAATATAATTAAAGACAAACATAAAACCCACAGGAAGTAAACAACAAAAAAACCCTCAAAAAACAGTGACAGAGGGACAGAGAAATCCGCCCGCTGGTTCACTCCCCAGGTGACTGCTGGTCTAGCCGGCACCTGCTACGGGTGGACCCAGGCTGTCCTTGCCGCTAGCTCTCCCTGCCCTTGGCCCTTGGTACTAGGGGAGGCAGCAAGGAGGCGGTGGACAACGACTGCTCCTTCCAGAGGGGCCCCAGCCCTGTCCCCCACTGCTCCCCACAGCCAGGTCCTGGAAGTCGCCACCTGTGGGAGGGGTCCCGGCACTGACCCTGTGGGCTTCACTCCCCCCAGAGGACTGGCAGGTCATTCAAACGCCACCCTCTTCCCCCTGAGGTCCTCTGGACCGGCAGGACATCAGCGTGTCGGCCTTCCCACACCAAACAGAAGAAAGCCCACCCAGCCCTCCCCCGACCTGCTGGGGACTGGGGCTCCCTGGACCTGAGAGTTGGCCCCTGTGGTGCCTGACGCAACCCGGGCGGCTCGTGGCCCGTGCCACGTGAATGCAGCTGCCCCGGGGAGTGGGAAGCCCGAGGCCCCAGGGGCCCGGCTCTTGCATCAGCCGTGCTGGCACGGCCCCAGCTGGTCCCACGTGTGCTCGGCAAGATGTGAGCTTGTCGTGAGCGCCGGGGAGCATGATGTGGCTGAGCCTCCAGGCGAGCAGGGAGCTCAGGCTGTGCCTCTGGGGACCACCTGGCTGCTGCAACGCAACACGATGCTGATGAAATCGCCCCAAAGTTGGTGCAGGGCAGGGCACTGCACCCCTGTCCTTCCCGGCACAGCACACTGGGCGTCTCCACTCCAGGTTCCCAGGCACCTGCAGTGAGGCCCCACACCATGGGGCTGCGGCGGCCCCTCTGCCTGCTGGCTCTTGGGGGCTCTCCTTCCCTGGCAGGGGCTGGGCTCATGTGAGCCAGCAGACCAGGGCAGATCAGGACGGGGCTGGTCCCTGGGTGTGGGTCCCTGGCCCAGGCCCTGTGCTGCGTCCCTCGCAGCCTTGTCTGGCCGTGTGCAGGTGCAGGCACCCTCTCTTGGCCTCTCATGCAGAACAGGGTGCCGGGAGCTCTTGTGGATGCCACCCCAGGAAGGCAGGGGTCCCCCTGTTTGGCCCCATCCTCTGGACTCCTGTGGTGGGGTGCTTAGGTGGCACATAGCACAGGTGCGGTTTGCAGTGTCCTCTCCAGGGTGGGGTGCAGACCTCGTGGAAGGAGCAGACCCACCCCAGGGTCAGGGTTGGGGGCGGGCAGGGCCAGGGAGGGGGCACCGAGTGAGGGGTGAGCTGGGCAGAGGAGGGGCGAGGCGGACTGGCCTCTGCAGGGAGCCCTGGCCACTTGCCGAGAGGGCAGAGCCGGCCCACTGCAAAGGCTGGGGATCTGCGAGCCTTCTGTCAATATTTAAACACTGGGTGGATTATTTTTGGTAACCACAGTCTCTCCCAGCCTGGAAGGCTGCCCCACAGTGTCGAGTGACACCACGCACCCTGTTTGCGGATCCAACGGCCAGCCGGGCCCGCCTTGGGACACACCCAGGGGCCCAGGGGCGGCCAGGGCGAGGCCAGCGGGGCCCTTCCGGTTGACGGTAGTTG